CCGCCTCACCATTCATTACCACGGTGTTTACCGCCCCAACCTCCTTCGTGCGGACTCATCGCCTGCTTGTTTATGCAATAAATCTGGGCTGGATTGTTCCCCATCACCTAGAGACTGAGGACGATTAGTGCCTTTTATGCTCAAAAATGCTGTCTCTTATGAATCAGGTCGTCCCGCCCTGACAGGCAACATTTTGCAGCAGCTCTCCTTGGATCGGTCGTAAGTTAAGGATCCATATGAAGAAACGACGAGAAATGTGGTAAAGGTTTAATTCTACACAATTGGTCTTGGACTACTCGAACTACAAGGTGGTTTAGTAACCTTCATAGCTTAACGAAATATGAGAAACTAGCCCCGTCCGGCGGATACATCCGCGACCACTTCCAAACTACTTTTCTCATATCTCAATGTGGGATACCTGCTCTGTATTCCAGCGAGAATGAAGTCATGCCTCATAAGGATGGTGCGAAAGTTGGTCTCCTTGCCTTGCAGTATTCCTCCGTCTTGTTCTCCTAAGCTCCATAGACCTTGTGTAAACAACACAGAAACGCTTTAATGTGGAAAGTACTTCTTGATTTAAATCCAAACTTCATCGAACCCTGATTATTTGCATCCTTTGTTCCCCAAGACGGTGGCGTAACACCTAGCTGTTCATGTTTGCCGTGATTTTCGGTGCTCTTTAGATGCAGGACGGCCTCTCGTGTGCTTGCGGATTGGGTACTTTGAATCCCATATACAAGGGAAGAGATTGTCAAGACAAACCAAGCTGCCGGCCTCTCTGCTTCACATCAGTAATTTGTAAGGTTGTGAAAATAATTATTAAATGGCCTCTGAATCTTCACATGATGAACCTGAATATCGTATCACACGTTGATCATGGTTTTCGAGATTTGTAACACTGTATATTTCCCCGCTTTGTCTGTGTAAAATTCTATCTATAGTTACTATTTCGTTGTACACTTAGGCGATCAGTGCGGAATCTTGAACTGCCTCTTGTCTTTGGTGGTTCGGGTCGAGCACCACCGTCGTGCTTGGCGCTTGTTTGATTTCGACCTATGATCACTTCGCATGCCGCGCATCGTCCTCGTTTTTTATAGGTAGGCTAACAGGGGAATAATTGCTTTACTGCCTTTGATCTGCTTTCGGGGAGCGCCACCTTGGCTCCTGTTGCAAAGGCACATTCGTGTGTCTCCCCACGACGACGCTGTGAGCGCATTGACACCAGCCAACTGACAAAGCCAGCTGTTCTGAATGCGTATCAAAGTACGCTGACATGCGAGTTGAGCAATCGCTCACTGGAGACAATTGATGGTCACTGGTCACATGTTCGCCAGACCTTACTAGCAGTGGGCAAATCCTCATGTGGTATGTCTAAAAGCCAACATGGACATTGGGTCTTTTCTCGGTCTCTGGAACTTATCGACGCTCGCCGGCATATCCCGGCTGGAAGCGAGCACAATGAAACTCGCAAAGAACTCCGGGAAAAACTCCGCGCTAGCCTGAAGCGAGACCGCGAATCTTGGTGGTCTCATCGTGCGTCAGAGATGGAAGTGGCCGCTGTCCATAGCAACCATCGTAAGTTATTCCGTCTGATACGGGAAACGGGCAGCAGGAGGCCTGGTGTTAGTGAAACAATTTGTGATGAGAGTGGACAGCCTATTCACAATTTGTCAAAATGTTTGGAGCGTCGGGCTGAGCATTTTGAAAAGCAATTTAATCGGCTAGAGTTGTTCGATTCTTCGCCGGCGAATGATCGCCCTGCTCCGTGAGCTGTCCCTTTGGATCCACCCTCTCGCTCAGAAGTCGAACGTGAGATCGGACTGTTGAAGTTGAACAAAGCCGCGGGACCAGATGATCTTCCTCCAGCCCTCTTCAAATTCGGAGGCTCTGCTCTTGTTGATGCTTTACATGAATTACTAGTGAAACTGTGGGAGCATTAGACGGTCCCAACCGACTGGAGCCGCTCCGTTATTGTTCCCATCTTCAAAGGCGGCTCGCGCTCGGAATGCGGCAATCATAGGGACTCAGTCTGATCTCCATCGCCTCCAAATTACTCGCCTCCATAATTCTTCACAGACTGACTGGCGCTCGTGAAAGCCAGATTCGTGAGGAGCAAGCCGGGTTTTGTCGTGGTCGTGGCTGCATCGACCACATCTTTACCTTGCGTCAGTTGTTAGAGCACCGCCACACATATTGGCGGCCCACCGTAGTCGTGTTCCTCGACATCAAAGGTGCCTTCGATTCGGTTGATCGATGTGCCCTTTGGAATTGTTTACTCAGGAAAGGTGTGCCCGAGAAATATGTAAATATTATCCAAGCATTATATTTGCGTAGCACGGGCAGAGTGAGGGCTTACGGCAAGCTGTCGCCACCCTTTAATATCTCCAGTGGTGTGAGACAAGGATGCCCGCTGTCACCTTTCCTCTTCAACTTCGCTATTGACGAAGTCATGGAGTTTGCATTTACAGTACATGACTTGGAAGGTGTGGAGCTACTTCCAGGAGAACGACTTCTTGACTTGGAGTATGCAGACGACATTGCCCACATCTGTGACAGCTCCCAGACATGCCAAGCGGCGCTGGACAGATTAGCACTGGCTGTCAGCCGCTTCGGGCTTTGCTTTGCACCATCAAAGTGCAAAGCGTTCCTCCAAGATTGGCAGGGATCGTCTCATGCGCTGACCCTTGGTGGGGATCAGCTGGAAGTCGTTCAGAAATTCATTTACCTGGGAAGTTGTATCAAGGCAACTGGGATCGAAGACGAGATCACGAACCGTATAGCGAAAGCTCGAAGTGCTTTTGCTAACCTTCGCAATCTATGGCGGCGACGCGACATTACTCTCGCCCGGAAGGGTAGAGTGTACAATGCAGCGGTACGTTCGACCTTACTGTACGGTTGCGAAACCTGGCCCCTATGGTCGGCGGACTTGAAGAGGCTAGCTACGTTCGACCATCTGTGCCTTCGCAGTTTGGCTCACATCTGGTGGGAACACCGTGTGAGTAAAGAGCGTGTTCGACGCATTGTTTACGGCCCAGGAAAAGGATCTGAAACGCTCAGCACCGTTATTTCCCGCACCAGGCTCCGATGGCTCGGCCACGTGTTACGCATGCCAGCCCACCGACTCCCGGGGATGTGGGTGGAAGAAGAGGAGACGTGGCCAAGCGATGACTTGGTCCAGGGGAATGAAGTACCTCATTACGGAGCTAGCCTCGGTTGGAGTGTCACGGCTCCCTGGTTGGGGTCCAAAAGACGGTGAACACGTTTGGCTGGATACACTTGCTGATATGGCAAGGAGCCGACCTCAGTGGCGTTCCTGCTGTGAGTTTCTTTGTCCCTCCCCATCCCTTTAGCCTCCCCCTCCATCTACGATCTTATTTCGTAGGGTAAAACGTAATTAAATTTTTGTTTTTGCCTAGTAGTCGGCTAGTAGCTTACCGGAACGATGCGTATCCGTTGCTGGTAGCTCAGCTTGCATGCAACTGTTGTATCTATTTTTCTTTTGTGTGTTGTATTATATGTATGTATGTGTGTATTTCTTTCATGTATTGCGGCACAATAGCGGAGGTGTTTTCCCAACTCTAGCTGATGTGTATAATGATGGATGGTGATGATGTGTCTCCAGTCTACTTGTTGCGAGAGAAAAATGGACGAGACCGCTGGTTGCCGGCAATCGCCTGGACGCTCTTTTTTGTCGATTTCAACAAGGTAATTAACATTCTCCCATGGATGTATCCTACTCTAACTCCAGGGAATTGGTGTCTCTAAGGGGGTTCCCTCCTAGGTCACTGACTTTACGTATTGCCACTGCATGCAACTGAAGCTGAATGATACCTGCTTTTCTGATCAACGGGTTCCCGTAGGGCTCTTTCGTTGGTCCTGAGCTCTTTAAAATCTGCATCAGTGATCTTCCATCAGAGCTTCAGACAGATTGCCTGATACATGCCGGTGATTTAAAGCTGTGGCTGAAAGCATCCAAGCTTGAAGATGGTGACCGGCTACATGCAACGCTAGACCGGTCGCACATCTGGTCAGTTTTGTGGCGGCTACCTATCAAGCAGGATAAGTGTTCTGTTCTCCTAATTGGTGCCTCTTATCCCATCGGTGCCTATCACATTTAGGCTTCCTTCTTAGGTACGCGGCCTTCGAGAATGATCTTCAAGTGGTTGTTTCGCCAAACCGCACAGCTCAGGACAACTTGAAGAGACTTGTCGCTGCCAATGGGATATTCTTTGCTGTATTGAGGTATTTTTCTCACATGACCTCGGAGATCTTTAGACTCCTCTTCAGTTCTCATGTGTGTTCAATTCTTGAGTACGGATTGCCAGCGTCTTATCCTCTTACAAAACCAAATGCATTCTGATAAAGCTCTAGCGACTGGGATCGAAATCCGTTTCAACCCTTCCGACCTATTCTTTTTCCATCGACTTCGGAGGATGAACTTGTTCTCCCTGGAGTATTGTCGTCGTCGTGGTGACCTCCTTTACACTGAGGTATTCTACGAAGTGAGATGGAGAATGAGTTGCAGGAGTCCTTTCAGCCTTGTGCGGGTAATTCGACACAGGTCCACTGTTAGCAACTGTTTAAATCGAGGAGGCTTCGGATTCGTTCAGGTGTTACTTTGTCCATTCGTTTGATGGATAACCCGAGTGAGTCGTCAGTGCACAAACAGAGGGATGTTTCAAATGATTACTAAATACTTATTTGCTGGGAAAGCATGGGTCTTACTGTGTCCATTACGACCGTAGTGGTTCCTTGTGGAACGTTGTGCATCAACCCTACAGTGAGCGCGAATTGACGCGGCTGAAAAAGGATATCCTTTCCGCTCTCTGCAACCCAGTGAACCTGCAGTCATCTGGTGCGACGGAGCTAAGTAGCAGTATCGAAGCTTTGACGCAATTGCCTAGGTGCTCTATCATCTCCCCGTCCGATCCTGCGAATGATGTTTATTGGATTTACATGTACCGCGTCTGATTAGCCTATGAAAACAACACAGTCGAACACGTGGTTGCGAAAGTGCTGTATATTTTGGGAAAAACCGGTGCAAATTGTAGAACAATCGTTATTTTTATAAATCGAAGGTCAGCTCGTAGAACAGCTTGTGTAGTTTGTTTTGCGCGAACCGAAATTCATAGATTACTGCATGCGTTAGTTGTCGTTTTCGACCTAAAAGTGAAAGATACGAAGAGAATTTGAGGGGTTGTGGTGACCACAAGTGGTGCAAGGTCCACTCAGCTGGTTCCATCTGATTTAGGCTATCCGATTTGTAGTTTCTACCCTCTGTTGAATATGTCCACTCGACCCAGTGTGACAGCATCTCTGGAAGAGAAGAAAACAGCGGTTTAATACTGGGGAACGGCCTTTGTGCACGTGGTCGGTAAACGGTCAAGCTTTTCGCCTGAATGTTTTCGTCTTTGGAGGAAGCTATTGATATCTGGTGTTAGACAAATCAAGCTAAGCTTTATGTGCACAGATGGGCGCATTTTTAGCATTTTACATTATCAACTGTAGATTAGGTAAAATGACATCTGGACAAATGCAAAATTTTATTTATGGGTACAGAAAAGGGTGCAATGGTGTCACTCGAGTGAAAGGGCCCGCACTGAGTGTACAATGATAAACAGGATCCTCATGTTTTTTCCATCCGACAGAGCGTAGTTCTGTGAGGTCAGTACTTTTTAATTGTTTTTAACTCGCCAGAATTTTGTGGCCAAAACCAACAGAACATGAACAGTGCGCGATATCTGCGCTTTGCATTCAAAATACCGCGGCGCGCAGACAACGCACTTCGCGGGAGTCGGTGGGCTGGCATGCACAACACCTTGCCCAGCCATCGGAGCCTGATGCGTGCTATAACGGTGCTGAGCGGCTCGCTTCTTCTTCGTGCGCCATAAACACGGCGTCGAACACGCTCATTGCTCACACGGCATTCCCACCAGATATGAGCCAAACTGCGTATTCAGTGGTGGTCGACCGTAACCGGCCTCTTTGTGTCCGCTGATCTAATGGCCCAGGTTTCACAACCGTACAATAAGGTCGAACGTACGGCTGCATTGCACACTCTACCCTTCAGGAAGAGAGTGATGTCGCGCCAGCGCCATATATGGCGAAGGTTAGCAAAAGCGCCTCGGGCTTTTACTATACGGTTTGTGACCTCGTCTTCCATTCCAACGGCGCTGATACAACTACCTAGGTAGTTGAACTTTTATAGGACTTCTAGCTGATCCCCACCGAAGGTCAGCGCAGGAGGCGGTCCCTGATAATCTTGAAGAAAAGCTTTGCACTTTGAGGGTGCAAATCATAACCCTAAACGGGTGACAGCCAGTGTTACTCTTTCCAGTGCCGCTTGGCACGTTTGGGAGCTGTCACATGATGACAGTATCGTCGGCATACTCCAAGTCAAAATGTTTTTTTATCTGGAACAACTCCACGCCTAATTCATGTCCTGTGGACGCGATATCCAAGACTTCGTCAAAACGAAGTTGAAGAGGAAAGGTGACAGCGGGTATCCTTGTCTTACACCGCTGGAGATATTGTAGGGCGACGAAAGCTTACCGTAAACCCTCATTCTGCCCCAGCTATGCGCGTAAAGCGCTCGGATACTATTGCATATTTCTCGGGAAACTTTTCCTGAGTACACAGCCCAAAGGACACGTCGATCCACTGAATCGAAGGCACCTTTGATGTCGAGGAACACGACAACGGTAGGCTGCCAATATATGTGGCGGTGCAGAAACCAAGTAGATGTTCGACTATCCTATTCGTCTAGTGCATACTTATCCTAGTTCAGAAGTTTGACCGGCTGAAGTTGAACAGCGGATGAACACTAAGATTACTTCATTGAAAGCAAGTCTTCGCCAGGACAACCTAGTGGCCTCTAAACATAGCAGTGTTGCACGGTCTGCTTCACTCGAAGCATGCTCGGCAAGGTTACCGTCTCCATTATCTCTTCCAACTATGACCGAATTTCAAGCAAAGATAGACCGGGGCCCTTGTACTCTAGCGGTACTCATGACAACGAAGATCAAGCACCACCCGAAGCGTGTGTTCGATCTAGCTCCGATGGTCTACCAAGTACTACATTAGCAAGGATGGGGCAGCCGAACACGAGTCTTCTGCATCTGCAACTTAAGGCTCACTGGTCGAGTTCAAGTCCCACGGGACATCAGTTAGCTGTGATGCCACACTTCTTCTCTGTTGCAAACACGGCTAACCAGAACAGAAACAAACTGGGGACTATCATCACTTGATAGAAAGCCAGGACCGACGGTCCTTCGAACTTGCTGCTCAACAAAAATTATTATTTTACACGTTTGCTAGAGATGCGAATCACCTCAGCATTTGTGCCGCAATACATTGGAAGGAAAAAAAGGACGCAACAGAGACATGCCAGCTGAGTCACTGGTAACGGATGCGCATCGTCCAAAAGATCTAATAGCTGACTATATAGTTGTAAAAATGGTTATATTGTGTCCTAGATGAGATTGTGGCCGGTGGTGGAGGCCAAGCGGCAGGGGAAGAACAAAGAAACTCGAAACACCAATGCCCCTGAGGTCGGCTCCTAGCTATCTCAACAACTGTATCCAGCCAAACGTGTCAGAGACTTAGGAGTTCTCTCGCGACATGATATGAGATCACTAGAAAATACAGAGAATAGCATGCGGGACTTCGTATGCTCTCGGCGTTAAGACGCAGTTTCTCCACATGGTCCGAAGAAACCGTCCCTTGTCTATTCACCTCGCTCATTAGACCAATCCTTGAATACGGTACCCCGGCTTAACATCCGATAACCCAGTGGGAAACTGCAAAGCTGGAGAAAATACAGCATATCGCAACTAGAATGACACCGAGTCTACGAAAGCTTCCGTATAAAAAAGTTGTGAAAGGCTTGGGCTCTGCACACTATCCAGCCGCCGAGTAAGAATTGACCTTATTATGACCCATCGAGTACTACACTTGAATCACTTCTCCATACTGCGGCCAATATTTCACCTGCGAGAACCCTGTAACACACGAGGACACCGTTACAAACTCAGGGTCTTCTGCATGAACAACGTATCACATCAACTTTGTAACGAACGAAGAATTGTAAACTTCTGGAATGCACTTCCAGAAGTGTTTTAAAACACGTATCGACGATTATTTCGGAAACCTGTGCTTTATGAAACGATGCACATACAATGCCAAAGGAAGACATCGTATGCCCGGACATAATGATACTAGTATAAATTCCTAACCGAACAAGATAAACGATTAGCTGACCAGATAACCGCTGATGATTCGCAACTAAGTGCTTTTGATTTTTTCTAATTCGATAAATTTGTACAGAAGCCTTTTTACTTGCTCTTAAATACAGTCTCAGTGTCTTTCGGGCCCCACCTGAGGGACCAAGAAGATAATGGCCTTCATTCCTCTTGACTGCCCTTCCTCTTCTCCCGTCGGTGCAAACAACGGACGTCGCGGGAGTCGGTGCGCTGGCATGCGCAACACGTGGCCGAGCCATCGGAGCATGCTGGGTGAAATAATGGTACTGAGTGGTTCGTTTCCTCTTCCAAACACACTAATTGCCCACACCTTGTTCCAACCATATATGAGGCAAACTGCGAAGGCAGCGATGGTCGAACGTAACTAGCCTCTTAACGTCTGCAATGTAATGGGCCAGGTTTCACCACTCTACAATAGTGTTAAACGTAAAGCTGCATTGTACACCCTACCCTTCCTAGAGAATGGGTGTGTGATGTCACACCGGCACCGTTGATGGCGAAGGTTAGAAAATGCGTCTCCAGATCTTGCCATACGGTTTGTGACCTCATCTTCGATTCCACAGGAAGTTAAATTTCTGAATAGCTTCTACCTGATCCCTGCCGGGCGCAGGAGATGGTCCCTGCCATTGCTGTAGGAAAGCTTTGCAATTCAAGGTTACAAAACAGCTCGAAACGGCTGACAGCCAGTGCTAATTTGTCTACTACCGCTTAGAACGTTTGTGGTTTGTCACAGATGAGGGCAATATCATCGGCATACTCAGAGTCAAGAAGTCTTTCATCTGGAGCAACTTCACACCTAAGTCATGTCTTGTGAACGCGATCTCCATGACTTCGTCAAAACGAAGTTGAAGAGCCAAGGTGATATCGGGCATCCTTGTCTCGCGCTGCTGGAGATATTGTAGGGCGGCGACAGCTTGCCGTAAGCCTTCACTCTGCCCTAACTACTTGCGTAAAACACTCGGATAACACTTGCCTGTTTCTCGGGCAACTGATTCCTTAGCAGACAGTCCCAAATGGCACATCGATTAACCGAATCGAAGACACCTTTGATGTAGAGGAACACGACAACGGTGGGCCGCCAATATATATGACAGTGCTCCAACAGTTGACATAAAGTGAAGATGTGATCGAGGCAACCCAGCTTGCTTCTCACGAATCTGACTTTCACGAGTGCCAGTCAGTCTGTGAAGGATGACAGAGGCAATCAATTTGGAGGCGATGGAGATCAAACTGATTTTTCTGTGGTTACAGCATTCCGAACGCAAGCATCCCTTGAAAATCAGGACAATAACGGTGCGGTTCCAGCCGGTTGGCGCAGTTACCTTCTCAACAAAATGGGATCCAATAATAATGCCCTGCCTGTTTTGTGCACAAATGTCCCCGAATCTGTAGCCATCACATTGCGGGATAAGATGTCTGCCGACCAAAACCAGTGGAGCTTATTGTGTATTTTGAGGAACGTGAAAGCCAAACCACAAACTTAGTACGAGTTACTCATCACCCTAACTGTTGACTCTACGGCGAACCGCGACTTGTTAGTGACATTTGAATCTACCATTGATGTCAAACGTTTTGCCATCTACTTACGCACTACAGCACGGATCCTGTTGAGTACGCATCTCTCCTGACTTCCCTTAGAACGCGCGGCAACTGAAAAGAAACATCTCGGGAGGACACAGCAGGCAGGATTGCCTAGACAGAATATTCATTTATGACTTGCCAGAACTTCCTTCTCACGATAGTCAAGAGATCGGAAATCACGAGTTGGAACTGTACCGGTTCATTTGAGAAAGTTTCTGATTAACGTCATCGCTCGGAAGGCTTTTTTCACACCAACTTATAGAAGATGCAGCCAAAGAATGCTCTAACGCTCGGTTCAGTCAGAGAAAACAGCAACGGAAGTGTTAGAACATTGGTGGACAACTTGCAAAAGCTTTCCATCTGAGATTCGGTTAAAAGCTGGGAAGCTTTGCAAAGACCAGACATGAGCTTATCTGAAGAAGCAGACCTGCCTGCAATTACACATGAGCTTCACTTGATCTCTCGTTCACGCAA